TAGTATAAAGTATTGTTAATTAAACAACTCTTACACACCTTTATTAGTAATAGTATAAAGTATTGTTAATTAAACATTCTTGCACTACTTTTATTAATAATGGTAGAAAGTATTGTTATTTTAACACTCTTACACACCTTTATTGGTACCTGTATAAAGTATTGTTAATTAAACACTCTTACATACTTTTATTAGTAATGGTATAAAGTATTGTTAATTAAACACTCTTACACACCTTTATTAGTAATAGTATAAAGTATTGTTAATTAAACACTCTTGCACACCTTTATTAGTAATGGTAGAAAGTATTGTTATTTAAACATTCTTACACACTTTTATTAGTAATGGTAGAAAGTATTGTTATTTAAACACTTTTACACACTTTTATTAGTAATGGTAGAAAGTATTGTTAATTAAACACTCTTACACACCTTTATTAGTAATGGTAGAAAGTATTGTTATTTAAACACTCTTACACGCCTGGTTCAGATCATTTCACACGATAATTTCTACTTGTTTTTCCTTCGACTACTTATTTGATAAAAATTAATTTTCTTCTTTCATAAAATATTTTTTTCGGTATCTACATATCTTGGTTTTAAAAAATCTTTTAGGGTTCTAATTTACAAAAAAAAGTTCATTTGTTTTCCCCTTTTATCAGTAAAAACCTTTCGTGCTTTCTTACCAATTACTAAATTATTTCCTACCATTTTGTTTAATTTGGCTCCTTTTATTTCTTTACTTACTCTATTTATTATCTTTATCAAAATTGCTGGTGAGCACTTTTCTCCAACTTGACTCATTTTCTTTTCTCATATGCTTTGCTATCTTTATTTTCTTACTTCCTATCCAACCCTTTCTCTATCTGCCCTCTTCCCTATCTTTTTTCCTTTACTTATCCCTATTCCTTTATCTTTACTTTACACTCTTCATTTTTTCTCTAGTTTAACGCCTAATTTTTTACTTATTCCTTCATAACTTTATTTGCTGCACGTGCATTGCTTAGGTTTATTTTGTCATTGTTTTACCTTATTTTCTATAATTTTTAATTATCATTTTTCCAAATTTTATTTAACTTGGCGTCGTTTGATTACTTCCTTTTCTAATGAGCTCCTTTTATTACCTCTCGTTTCCAATTTTTACTTACAACCTGTCTTATTTCTATTCCTATTTTTTATTTGATTACCTATGTTTAGATATTACATCCCAGCTTATCTCACCGTTCTCTTTTTCTTTCATTTGTGTAATTACCTTATTCCTTCCCAATTAATTTTTTTATTTAGCGTTAATTTCTTTTATTTTTGTGTACAATACTTGATTTGTTTATTTTTTGCGCTCTTCCTGTACAGACTGTAAAACAAATGTAGATCATATTCTTTTAAATAAAATATAATAATCATGAAATTTTGTAAGTTATGGTTTTTGAAAGTGTGATATATTTTATGTCTTTGCAAAATAGTTTTATCACAAAGCATGAGAGCAACAGCAATACTGCATGCAATGTGTGTTACTTCTGAATATAAATGTGATGTATTAATTGTAGATGCATGAGATGTGATTATACAGGGAAGTAAAACATAAAGCATGTAAACTAGTGTTAGCATGAATATTAGTTTTGGTGTGTAGATATATTTCTCAGAAATATCTCACAGGTATCTAGTTTCCCCGAAAGAGAGCCGATGGCCACCTGGAGGTATCACCTGTTTTAACTACTCGCACCACTATACTGTTGTCTTTCAGTCAGTCAGTAGACACTAAAATGACGTCACATAAGAGACGCTTAATGTTGCAATTTGTTCTATCGTGACGTCAGTAAAGTGTGCGTATGCCTTGGATCACGAGAAGAATTACGCACACTGTAGGCTATAACAGCATGATATATGAACTCAAAAAGCAAGAAATAAAGACATCTCTTACTCTTAATTTCGATTTTATTTACTCTTGAAACGGAACTCTTTCGTGAACCCTGCGGAAGTACATCTAGTATGTATTAGACAACTTTGTATATCTTGTAACGTCATAACAGAACTCTTAATATGTTATTTGACTGATATTATTACACTCTGTTTGAATCTTTCTTCATGGAATACTGTTAAAATGTTTGTAAGTACTGGAAGAAACGTTTTGGCTATAAATCTATTTTCAGAATATTTATAAACTGACTGGTAATATAGGTACGTTAAGTTGCGGTACGTGTGATTTCACTGTAGGACTTGTAAACTAATTGGTAATACAGATATATTAAATTTTTATAGAAACGATTTGTCTCTATAACTCTCACTGGAAATAGAGATATTCAATTACAGAACAAGTGATTCAGTATACTTATAAACTGACTTTTGATTATGGAATTACTAAGATTTAGTGCGAGAATGATCATGAATGAATAAAATGCCGAAATTCACATCCTGTTGGCATCAATAATTGTAATGATTTCTGTAACAGCACAACTCCAAACTCACACATGGCATAACTGCTACTTACAAATTAAGTCATGTATATACAGCACCACTCATAGTGTTTCATGATATCCTCTCACATATTATGTATATATTGAGTCATGCATACACAGTACACCTCATAGTGGACACATGGCATGTTTCATGATATCCTGTTACATGTTACGTACATATTAAGTAATGTATACACAGCACACCTAATAGCGAACACACGGCATGGTTCATGATATCCTTTCACATGTTACCTACATTAAGTCACGTATACACAGCACACCTCATAGTGGGCACATGGCATGTTTCATGATAGCCTATCACATGGCAAAACTGCTACGTACATAATAAATCATGTATACACAGCATAGTGGACACATGGCATGTTTCATGATATTTTGTAACATATTACGTACAAATCAAGTAGTGTATACGTAGCACACTTTCAAATGGACACGCGGCATGTTTTATGGTATTTTGTCACATGGCAGATCTGCTATATACAAATTAAATCATGTGTACCTTCACATCTTCGTCACGCTAGCACTTTACGTGTAGATTTCACCTTAAGTATTTATAAAAATGAGCATAGGAAAATATATCAAAGCTCCGTTTTCTAACTTCAATGTGTTTTCTCTGGGAACAGGCTCACGACGTAGCAGTTTGTGTACAAGTTTCTTTCAGTGGGGAAGGAAAGACAGTTCCCCAGTCGGTAAGGTCGAAGGTCGCACCAGATCAACGTCTATTGTTAAAAATGTTGTGATTATATAGAACTTAAAGCTACGAAGGTGCATCAGCCATTTAAACGAAACAAAATATCATTTTATGTATTACCAATGTTTTATTAAACAGTAATGGTCAGTAAACAGTGAGAGTTTCTTATACTTCAAAGAATATTTTACTGAAGAGCAGAAGGTAGGATTGTAATATTTGTATTAACGGAAAACGCTCTTATTTTTCTATGTTCTAAAACTTGAAGTGGCACAATAATTTCCGTGTTAAATTTTATATTAATTTTCTTAGTAATGTAGAGGTTGTTTCTTTTATTCGTGTTAACGCGCATTGCTTTAGTATATTGTAAAAGTGCAGCATCAAACTAGAACACTGAGTGTTCCTGAGACACATGGTAAGGATGTTAATACTAACTGAAAAATATCACAGAAAGAAGGAAGGTCTGCCTTACTAAGGCTACTAGGATTCTGGTTTTCTAATATTAGTACTAACATAAAAGCTTCACAAAAGAAGGAATGTTTACCTTACTAAGGTTAACAGGTTTCTTGTTCTGTGAAGTTATACGGGAGTTGCAAGTATCCATTCAGACTTTTACTGATCCGAGGCCTGTTCTCAGGTAACAATATCAACTTAATACTGAACAATATACACACCAATAATACATGTGTATTTTCTCTACAGATGATGAAACCGAAGAACCCAAGTTGACAGTACTTACTAAGCAACACAAGGACGCCATTAGAGCTCTTCGAAAGGTGCATTATATATCTATGGATATTAAGTAATAATATATATATGTTTATGATGCTAGAAAACA